CCAACATAATGCGGTGGCGGCACGCGAACCCTGCCGCCAGGGCCTTCGGCGGCGCTCCCCATGGGGCCGCAAGATGCGCGAGGGGCGCGTCAATGCGTGGGGAGAGACGGGGGGGGGGCGGCGCGCGAACATTGCGCCCTTCCGGGGAGAGGGGGGAGGGGGGCGACGATATGTGAAGGGGCCCTTCCGGGGGGGGGAAGTTCCGATACTTTGCGCCGACTCTAGCGCGACGGCCGGTTTGGCGACGCCCTCCATCCGCGCAGAAATCAAAGGGGCTACAAAATTGCTTCGCCCGCTGACCGCGACGGGGGCCCAGGCTCCGCGCCCCGACCCGTTCCCTGGCGGGCTGCCCGCGCCTCGGCGCCGAACGCGCTTGCCGCGCGGAGACGTCTCTTCCAACTCTCCCGCGCGCGCAAGACGAAATATCCCCGCCGATATTCCGCGCCGGGCGCCTCGTCGCGCCCGTCGCCTAGCGCGGGCGAGCTGCGGGCCCCGAGAACACCGCCATCAAATAGCAAGATAATGATTCATGATTGCGCGAACCCCCGCTGCGGGCGACGCGCGGGCCTTGCACCCCCCGGGGGCGTCGCGCCCGCCCGCGCGGCTCCGCCCCGCGCTCCGCGCGGCCGCCCGGCCGCGCGGCCGCGCCCGAGAACGCCGGGCGGGCCGCGCCCGCGCGCTCGAGAACGCCGACCCGGCCGCGCCGGCGCGCGCGAGAACGCGGGCCCGGCCGCGCCCGCGCGCTTCATAATTTCCCCGCGGCCGCGCCGGGGAGCCCGAGGGCGGCGGCCCGCGAGGGCCCGCGCATTTTAGAACGCGCGCCGCGGCCGCGCCGGCGCGTTTCAGAACTTCGGCGCGGCCGCGCCCGCGCGTTTCACAAACCGCCGTCGGCCGCGCCGACGCCCTTGACAAAACTCCCGGGGCGCGCGCCCTCGGGAAACGGGCGAGGCGCCCCGCCGCCCTCGCCGGGCGCGCCCGCGGGCGGGCGCTCGCTCGCGGGGCGGAGAAAAATAAGAACAAATAGGTTGCCGGGCTGGGAAAATTATGAAAAAAAGCTGCAAATAGCTAAAAATAACTAAAAATAGCTAAACATACAATTGTTCATATGTTTTTTTGATCACAACATTGCGTTTCGCTATGTTTTCAGTTTTTTTTTGATATTTTTCATCCGGCGAACAAAAATATGGAAAAAGAGCTAAAAATAGCTAAAAATAGGTCCGGCCGCGGCTGAAAAAAAACTAAAAATAGGCACGGCCGCCGCTCGCGCCCGCGGGGGCGCGCGCGCGCCCCGCGGCCGCGCGCGCCGCGGCCGCGCGGGCGCGTCGGACAGCGCCGCCCCCCGCGCGCCCGCGCGCGTTACGCGACGCGGCGCGGCCGCGCCCGCGCGCCGGAGAACGCGGGCGAGGCCGCGCCCGCGCGCTTTGCCGGGCTGCCCGCGGCCGCGCCCGCGCGCTTGACAACGCCGACCTGGCCGCGCCGGCGCGCCTGAGAAAGCCGGCCTGGCGGCGCCCGCGCGCGCCATATCCCCCGCGGCCGCGCGGGGGGGCCCGAGGGCGGCGGCCCGCGGGCGCCCGCGCATTCGAAAACGCTCGCCCCGGCCGCGCCCGCGCGCTTTACGGATCCCGCCGCGGCCGCGCGGGGGCGCCCGAGGGCGGCCGCCCGCGCGCGCCCGCGCATTTGAAAGCGCCCCGCCCGGCCGCGCCCGCGCGCTTTACAAATCCTGCAGCGGCCGCGCGGGGGGGCCCGAGGGCGGCCGCCCGCGCGCGCCCGCGCGTTTGAAAGCGCACGGCCCAGCCGCGCCCCCGCCATCTCCGCCGCGCCCGCGCCCGCGCGTCTTAGAGGAGGCGGCCCGCCGCGCCCGCGCGTCTGAGGGCGCGGGCGCGTCCGCGCCCGCGCGCGTGACAGGGCGGGGCACCGCCGCGCAGGCGCGGGGCGGGGCGCGCCCGCGCGTTCGACCAGATGGGGCGCGCCCGCGCGCTAGACGAGGGGGGGCGCGGCGGGCGCGGCCGCGCCCGCGAGCTCTGCGTCGCGGCATCGGCCGCGCCAGCGCGCGCCGCGGGGAGGGGGGCGCCGCCCCGGGGAAGCCGTTAGAATTCTGAAGAATCCACGAGCATCTTTCGGAACCTTTCAAAACAAATCGAAAGCCCAAGGAATCGGGGGGGCCCGCGCAGGACGCTCGCGCACCCCGGGGAAATCGCAATCTCCATCCGGAACCGGAGAATCCCCGGGAATTCCTGGCAATTTACAAGGTTTCTCGAGGGGCCATTGGGAACCCCGCGAATCCTCGGGGGCCTTCGAGACCCCGCTGAGATTCTTCAAGGTCCCTCTAGCAGCCTGCGCATGTTTGACGACACTTGAAAAATCATGATCCTCCACAATCATACTCGGGGGGCATCTGGAATTTCTGGGAGCTGTCGAAGATCCGACGGAAACCTTGGGCAACGTCATGCTGCCCGATGGATAACCGGGACCGAGGAACCCAGAGGCGCCCGCAGGAATCCAGATGATAGCTGAATAATCCTTTTGAACCCCTACGAATCCTGAGAATCCTGCGGTCTGGAAATCCAATGTGATCCTGACGGGTGCCGAGGAATCCGTAATCCGTAATGATCCTAGATAACCGGCATGAATTCTGACAGCCCGCGGGAGGCCTGGCGACCTTTTCGAACAAAACACAACCTTAGGAACCGACTTCGGAAGTACCCAGATGGTTCCTAGGGGCCAGACGGCATCCAGAGGCCCCATCCGACATCGCCGGGACGCTGGACGCGCCTTTGGGGACCTAATATATCAATTGGAAACCATTGGGGATACTGACGAAACCCGGGGAGCCTGAGGTATGCTGAGAAATCGCTGCAAAATCAAAGGGAGCGCCTTGGGGGGCGCTGAGAATCGTTAGAGTTCCGTTGAAATCCGCAAGGGATGGACCCGAAATCTCGCAAATCCATCGCCCGGGCGACTCCTACATAGGACCCCCCCCCCTCCCGCGCAACCAGAGGAGGAAACGCGTGAGAGCCCAGACTGTAAGTGTAATGCAGCAACACCTCAAAAGTGGTTGTACTCGGGAGTTGTACCAGGGAGTTGTATCCGCTCGGCCGCCGTTGAGAATTCGCTTTAGTTTCCAAGCCAGCATGGCGACCTTTCGACTGTGGAAACCTAGGAAATCGCATGTTAACTTCAAAACCCAATCGGTCCCCGTTACGGGTTCACTTTAGTTTGCAATCCAGCCTGGCGACTTTTCGATTTTGGAAACGTCGGAAATCGCAGGTTAACTTCAAAATCCAATCGATCACCGTCAAGGGCTCAGTTTCATTTCCAAGCCAGCACCGCGACTTTTCTCGATTGTGGACAATACAGAACTCCTCCACGCGCGCGCGCGGGGGGCCGCGCGCGCGCGCGGGTGACCCGCCCCGCGCGCGTCTGTCGGCCTCCTTGAAGACCAACAGGAAATTTGAATTCAGTGTTTGGAATTACATATCGAGTTTTCTGTTGTGGACAATACAGAACTCCTCAACGCGCGCGCGCGCCGGAGTTCTGTACTGTCCACAACAGTAGGAAAGTCGACGCGTCCGTCGGCCTCCTTAACAAGCAACAGAAATTGTGAATTCCTTTTGTAGAAAAACACCTGTCGACTTCTGTATTCTGGACAATTGAGAACTTCTTAACGCGCGCGCGTCGGAGTTCTGTATTGTCCACAATAAAATAGTCGACGCGTCCGTCGGCCTCCTTAATATTTTACTGTTTCCCACAAGTATCAGAATATGAAAAACTGATAAAAAATAGCTCAAAATATATGTTTTCATATACTTTTTCATATTTTTTACTAGTTTCCAATATGTTTTGCTATTTTTCTGTTTCCGAAAAATATCAAAATATGAAAAAATAGCTAAACATAGCTCAAAATATATGTTTTCATTTATTTTATTATATTTTTTGCTATTTTTTGATATTTGTTGTCATTCTTCCTCCCGGGGTGCCAGGAGGTCTGCCCGCAAAAGAAATTAGGTTGGCGCAGCCTGCTGTATGAGGTCCGGAGATTATAACTCTCGAGGTGCCCAGCATGCCTCTCCCGAGGTATCAGGAGGCCCCCGCGTCAAGACCAACAATGAAGGGGAAGCGCTCTGGGACCTCCCCCGGCACACCGCCTTCACCCCGAACCTCGAGCCTGGACCTCGAGCCTCGAGCCTCGACCTCGAGGGGCGACCTCTGAGTTCGACCTCGAAGCTCCATACTCCGCGTCGTCCTCCTCCACGTCGTCCTCCTCCTCCTTCTCCTCGACCTCGAACCTCGACCTAAACCCGATCAGCCCGACGAGTCCCCCATGCAGTCAGGCGTTCTCCTGACCCCAGGGAGAGGATGAAGAGGACGGAGGAGGAATATGAGGAGGAGGAGGAGGGATTCGAAGGATTACGGAGGTGCGGTTGGGGAGGGGTAGCGATCCCCAGAGGAACACGGTGACTGCGTTAGAGCTGCCACAAGCGAAACCAGCACCACCAACGCGGGGAGCAGCAGAGGGTCAGTCTGGTTGTGTGGTCCCCCCACGCGTTCGGGACATCCCCACATCCCCAGCTCGGGGCAGCATCATGGCCCTCCTCGCTGGAGGTGGCCCCCTCTGGTGGTGGTGGTGGTGGTGGTGGTGGTGGTGGTGGTGGTGGTAGTGGTGGTGGTGGTGGTGGTGGTGGTGGTGGTGGTGGTGGTGGTGGTGGTGGTGACGCTACTCGTTCCTCCGATGTCTCCTCCTGAATCACACCCCGAGCTCCAAATCATGAACGAAATGGCTTTGCTGGCCACGGCGAGCTGAGCAACGAACAAGTTTTCAGCGTCTTGACTGTATCACCCCGCCGAATCCTCCCCGCCGCTTCACGGACCTCTGCCGGGGTGGGTTCTTACTAGGATTTCGGAGCGAGTCCAGCCGTGGCGCCGAGGGAAGGGTAGCGCTGTAATTAGGCACGTTCTTCTCCCCTGGCCCCCACCTCGGACCTCTGCCTCGACCCCGTCACTCCCCAGTGTCCTCCGAGGCCTCCGCCAGCGCCCAGCCGATCCGACCTCACGAGCGGCGAACATCTGTATCCGCGCTCGGGGATACTGACCCAGGTCAATCCAAACCTGGGTCAGTCAGGGCTCGCAGGATCCTGCACGATCCTGCAGAAATCCAACAGGATCCTGCGCGCAATCACGGGCCAATGCGCCCCTAGCTCTGCAGGATCCTGCCAAATCCGGCGCTCTGACTGACCCCCTGTTTGCATTGCCGTATTGACCTCCGTCTCAAGGCCCCCGACGCGCCCTCGAGGTCTGGAATTTGGGGGGCGATCCCGCGGATACCCGATGGCACAAAAAATACCTTCAGGGCGCCGTGTCTGTGGGGGCGCGGCCAAGGGGCCCAGCCCGCAGAGACGGATGTGCTTTCCCCAAAGCGGATAGAACCCCCTTTAGCAACACACCCTGTACGGTCGGGCGAAGGACAGAGAGGACATCCTTCAAAAACATGAGACCCTCCGTCGGCCACAACACACACACAGAGCATCCCTGCCAAGATGCACAAGAGCATCCAACGAACACGAAACACACTGGGGCTCCCTCCCCGCACCGACCTCGATCTCACATCTCTGTCCGGCTGTAGTGAAAGCTTTCGAGGGCACTCCACGTGCGAGCGGCACCGCCTTGCGAGTGCACCACAGCGAGGTTAGCTGATGGACGTCCAAGCAGAACCAGATGCAATTATCTGGAGGAACGCACGTCGAACAACGAAACCGACTGGGGATTGCACTGGCTCGCCCGACTGCCCAAATCGAGTGAACCCCTGAAGATTTCCTCGGTCGACTTGTCTGGGCGAGCATTCTGTCGATAACAGAGATTTGTTTTGTCTGGAGGGGAAGAAAGAAGGATCACAACCAAAACTGAACACAGAAACTTCGCGCCGATCTTGGTCCCCGTCGATCTTGGCAAGTGTCAATTCGTGGATCGCCCACGCGCATCGGCGACGGCTGGCATGGAGAATGACCAAGATCGGCATCGACAAGGCCCCGCGACATCTTGGTCATGGCCCCCGTGTTTCTTCCCTCGGTTTCCTCGGCGGCGCGCACAAAGAGGGCAAGTGGAGGAAGACACTTCCTAGAACGAGGCGGCTTCTCAGAAGGCGCCGGCCCTGCATCTACAGATGAGGCCCGCGCCTTCCAATAAGCAGGGGTGCTTCCCAGAAGCCCTCCCCCACCTCCTTCCGAGGGGCAGCGATAAGGGGGGACTCGCATAGATGGGCATCGACTTGGAATCGGCGACGCATCTCCGATAGATCAACAAGCCCCCGATTGTGAATCCGCATGTTCCTGGGCAGCTTGGGGCTATTGGGCACCGAGCGGCGATCAATGGGCAACTTGGGGGTCGATGCATCCCCCCTATGCCCATACCCCCCAATCGTTGCCCCTGACTCACCCCCATGTGCGCGCAGCTGATTCTTAGGGAAACAATGCAATACCGAAACATTGATTTTTATGCAGAATTGAATTGTCCGTCGAATCTGCTGGAAGATACGTAGAATGTTCCGTAGATCTACGTGGCACATGGTGCGATTTGTTTGTTCGTAGATTCGACGGGAGATTAACTGTTGGTGTGAGTAAATTCTGTACAGTAGGTGGCTGCCCACCTGACCAGCCCGACCCTACCAGAAGACCTGAATTTCGCCCGAATTTCGGGTTTGGGGAGGTACGGGCTTCACATATGTTTTTTCAATGTTCCCCGACCCCTACCCCACTAGAAATGGAGGGCACATCGAGGCCCTCGGGTTGGGTTGGGGGAGGTTTGGTGGGCGGTGAATTGGAGCTCGACCACAAGAAACCTTCTACAAGAAACCCAGCCCTGGAACCCCAGGGCGTCCGTGGATTTCTGGTGTGGGAACGCCACGGCTCATATGGCAAAGCCATCGATCCCCAAGAAACCCAGGGCACCCTGGGGGTGAGCAGGGTGCGTCTTGGCGAGGGTTTCCACTGCAGCCCATCCCTAAAGGCCTCCTAGATGGGGTCCGAGTAGATGGGGTCGAAGGATCGCGCCGCATCGCCAATGCATCGCCGATGTATCGACGATGCATCGCCGATGCATCAGTGACGCCGGCAATGCATCGGCGACGTCGGCGTGGGAAAATCGGGCTCCACATCGAGCCGCATCGTCGATGCATCGTCGATGCACCGGCGATGCACCGGCGATGCGGCGCGATCCTCCGACCCCCTCTGGGAGGCCCAGCATCCCCCAGGCCGAATTCTCGCCCTGCGACGGCCCCCCCCGCGGCTGCAGCGGGCCGCCACGGCGGCCGAGGCCGCCAGCGCCACCAGCGCCACGCCCAGTGCGGCGCCGCCGGCCCACCGCGGCGCGGCCACAGCCTCGGGCGCCGGGCGAGGGGCGCCGGGCCCGACGCCGAAGGCCCGCATCGCGGCGCAGTGCACCTCGGCGGTGCTCGAAAAGGTTCCCGTGGCAGGACGACGAAAGAGGGGCGGGGCGAGGACCCCCGAGATCCTGGCAGCGCGATTTGTTCACAGCGGCCGTTGTCGCTCAATTCCGGACCCCCGAACTCTCACAACTCGCCCCGGCTCGAGCAACGACGCAGAAAGAGAGGGTCTGGGGCCCCGGTCATGCTTTTCTACGATATTTAATTTTCGTTTGCGACGTCGGGTCTCATGGGAGGAGGAGGAAGAAGGGAATCACGGGCAGCGCTACGGGGAAATAGGAAATAGGTTCAGGATCTCAGGAGGTGAAGCATCGAACTCGATGGCCGCTGGCTTGGGACCTAGGGGGGCGGTGGAGTCTGTTTGCCACAGGGGTGCCGAACATCCACCACTTGCCGAGCTGCCCGCCGTAGGTCGATCCGAAAGGGAGTTTCGGTGGCAACTCATGGGGACCTCCCACGCCACCTTGCTGGCTCTTGCGAATGGACGCTAACCGACGCCGATCGACGCTGATCGGCGCTAACCAACCGGCGCTAAATCGCAACTACATCGGCGCTTCCTCATCGATGAACCAGACGGTCGCGTACGCGAGCGCTCTCTCGAAGCGGACTTCCGGGGACACACTTTTGCCGTCGCAGCGCGGCAGAGGCGATCCGCACGCGCGCCGGGGCGAGACTGAGACAAGGCATCGCGAATCAGCCCGCATGCATGCAGGAGGGGAAGAAGGGATGTAGGGCAGCCGCAGAGGTCGGCGTTGGACAAACCTCCATTTAACAAACCACCCTTTAGTGAAAACGGCCTGGGACCGAACCCGACGGACCTGGACCCGCAAAAATGACGGCGGCGACGCCCTTTCGCGAACTGAAAGCGGCCAACTCCTTAATCGACGTGTCAGGGTGGTCGGAGGTCGATCCGCCTCCGAAAAAGGGAGGGCATGGCGCGGGGGCACAGTCACGTCAGCGAGGCTGCGGCGGGTGCGCGGGCGCGGCCTGGCTCGGATGATATGCCATCGAAGGAAAGCAAAAGGAGGCACGGCGCGGCGCGCCGAAGGGGGGAAATCCACTGTGCTCTCTCGCTTTCGTTGGCCCCTATAGGCGTTGCAGCCTCGGGCTGTTTTTTCCAGCAGGTGCGCGTCGCCGAAGGCGCTCCCGACCGTTTCCGGGGGGCCCCCTCCTCCTCCGAGGATGACGAGAAGGATGAGGAGGAGGCGGAGGAGGAGGCAGAGGAGGAGAAGGCGGAAAAGGAGGCGGAGGAGGACCCCCCGGGGCACCCCAAAACTCGGCGGTGGACGAATATCCCTGTAGTAAACCACCCTTTGGTGAAAACGGCCTAAGACCGAAACCGACGGACATGGACCCGCAAACATAACGGCCACGACGCCCTCTCGCGAACCGAAAACGGCAAATTCTTTACTCGACGCGTTAGGGTAGGAGGTTTATAGGCCTCCGAAGAACCCCCAAGGGCCCCCGACCCACCACCCCGTGGCCCCGGAGAAGGCTCAGGAGAGCTTTTCAAAAAAAAAACTAGAGGCCCTCTGAGCCTTCCGAGGAAGCCCGCCTCCTCCGTTTTCCCCCCTTGGGCACGCGGCCGAGCCTCGGCGGCGCTCGGAGGGCTGGAGCGGTACAGTGCTCGCAATACCACCCACAAGGATTTAGTCGGGCGTGTCCCCCAACTGGGGGATTTGCGACGGAAAATAAAATTAGCCTGGCGAAAAACCCAACCATATGCAGTTGTCAGTATCGCAGCTGCGGGTCTCATCTTCAATGGAACTCCCCATAGGACTACGGAACGTGTGAGGGGTGTGTCGAGATGGGTGCCACTGGGGCATTCGGCGAAGCTCCCTATGGGGACATGAAACACGCGCGGGGCGTGCCGACATGGGTGGCGGAAACGCATGTCAGGGCCGCCACTGGGGCCTCCAATGGAGCTCCCTATGGGTCCCCGAAATATGATGCTGCTGCGGGGGGGGTGCCGGGATGGGTGGTGGAGACGCATGTAAGCGCCACTACTGGGGGCCACGAAGCGCGTGAGGGGTGTACTGGGATGTGTGGCGGGGACGCATGTGAGCGCCACCACTGGGGCCTTCGGTGCAGCTCCCTATGGGGACACGAAACGTGTGAGGGGTGTGCCGAATTTGGTGCGGGTGGTGACGCATGCGGGCGGTGCCACTGGGGCCTTCGGTGGAGCTCCCTATGGGGCCACGAAACCTGTTGTTGTGAGGGGCGTGCCGGGATGGGTGGCGGGGACGCATGTGAGCGCGGCCGCTGGGGCCTTCGGTGGAGCTCCCTATGGGGACACGAAACGTGTGAGGGGTGTGCCGAATTGGGTGTGCGGGGCGCATGCGCATGTGAGCGCCGCCACTGGGGCCTCCGGTGGATGATGGGGCCACGAAACCTGTGAGGGATGTGCCGAAATGGGTGTGCGGGACGCATGCGCATGTGAGCGCCGCCACTGGGGCCTTCGGTGGGGCTCCCTATGGGGCCACGAAGCGTGTGAGGGCTGTGCCGAATTGGGTGTGCGGGGCGCATGCGGGCGGCAGCACCGGGGCCTTCGGTGGGGCCCCCTTATGGGGCCACGAAGCGTGTGAGGGGTGTGCCGACTTGGGTGTGCGGGGCGCGTGCGGGCGGTAGCACCGGGGCCTTCTGTGGGGTTCCCCATGGGGCCACGAAGCGTGTGAGGGGTGTTCCGAATTGGGTGTGCGGGACGCATGCGGGCGGCAGCACCGGGGCCTTCGGTGGGGCTCCCTATGGGGCCACGAAGCGTGTGAGGGATGTGCCGAAATGGGTGTGCGGGACGCATGCGCATGTGAGCGCCGCCACTGGGGCCTTCGGTGGGGCTCCCTATGGGGACACGAAGCGTGTGAGGGCTGTGCCGAATTGGGTGTGCGGGGCGCATGCGGGCGGCAGCACCGGGGCCTTCGGTGGGGCCCCCTTATGGGGCCACGAAGCGTGTGAGGGGTGTGCCGACTTGGGTGTGCGGGGCGCGTGCGGGCGGTAGCACCGGGGCCTTCTGTGGGGTTCCCCATGGGGCCACGAAGCGTGTGAGGGGTGTTCCGAGTTGGGTGTGCGGGACGCATGCGGGCGGCAGCACCGGGGCCTTCGGTGGGGCTCCCTCTGGGGCCACGAAGCGTGTGAGGGGTGTGCCGAATTGGGTGTGCGGGACGCATGCGGGCGGCAGCACAGGGGCCTTCGGTGGGGTTCCCTATGGGGCAACGAAGCGTGTCACGGGTGTGCCGACTTGGGTGTGCGGGACGCATGCGGGCGGCAGCACTGGGGCCTTCGGTGGGGTTCCCTATGGGGCAACGAAGCGTGTGAGGGGTGTGCCGAATTGGGTGTGCGGGACGCATGCGGGCGGCAGCACCGGGGCCTTCGGTGGGGTTCCCCACGGGGCCACGAAAAGTGTGAGGGGTGTGCCGAATTGGGCGTGCGGGGCGCATGCGGGCGGCAGCACGGGGCCTTCGGTGGGGTTCCCTATGGGGCCACGAAGCGTGTGAGGGGTATGCCGAATTGGGTGTGCGGGACGCATGCGGGCGGCAACACTGGGGCCTTCGGTGGGGCTCCCTATGGGGCCACGAAACTTGTGAGGGGTGTGCCGAATTGGGTGTGCGGGGCGCATGCGGGCGGCAGCACCGGGGCCTTCGCTGGGGCTCCCTATGGGGCCACGAAACGTGTGAGGGGTGTGCCGAATTGGGTGTGCGGGACGCATGCGGGCGGCAGCACTGGGGCTTTCGGTGGGGCTCCCTATGGGGCCACGAAGCGTGTAAGGGGTGTGCCGACTGGGAGGATGATGTCGATGATGACGATGATGCTGATGATGATGGAAAGGAAGAGGGAGGAGGGGGAGGAGGAGCGTGAGCGGGAGCGGGCGCTGTCTCTTCAAAACGAGGACCCAACACCACAAGATGTTTGGGAAATGTTCAGACATTTTCCAAAATTGTCGAAACATACTAAAATCAGCCGGGCAAAGGACCCAACCATATGCAGTTGTGAGTACTGCAATTGTGAATAGCTTCTTCGGTGGCGCTCCCTTTGGGGCCACGAACCGCATGATGGGGTGCGCCGAATTGCGTGGCGGGCTACACAACACGAGCGAACACGACAGGTCGAAGCACGCGAGATTGAGCGCGGGCGAGGCTGAACGCGAGTGAGTCTGAATGTGCACGAGTCTGCTGCGCGCGAGTGCATCTATTTGCATGAATGCAAGCATGGCCGCGCCTGGAATGTGTATATATATAACGCATATGTATATATATAATGTGAATGGTTCACGTATGCCTGACACTGAGTACTCGTGACGCTGAACGTGGCCGCCGCAAGAAACTTCCCGTGGAAACCCGACAGCAGTGCCCGAACGCCGCGACGCCCATGCCGGCACGTTCCTCACGAGGATCGCGCCCGCTTCCTTCCCCTTCTGCTTCTCCCTCTTTGCCCGTGCACGCCCATGTCTACAGCTGTGGGCGCGGCGCCGCACAGAGTCCCCGCGATCCGCGTTGGTCGCCCTGGAAGGGTCCCAGCGACGCGCGCGGGTCGTCCGCTGCGCGGGGCAGAGAGACCTTGCTGGCTGGCCGATGAGGGGGAAGGCTGTGGCCGCTGGGCAGAGCGACGTCGGGGGCGAGCGGGGCTCTGGGCAGAGCGCAGCGCGGAATTTCCCGCGACGCGCGCTGGTCGCCCCGCCAAGGTCTCAGCGACGCGCGCGGGTCGTCCGCGGCGCGAGGCCAAACAGTCAGACCGTCTAGAGAAGGCGAGGCTCGGGCGGGCCGTTCCTCAGGTCAAGCCTCGCGGATAACCTCGGTGAAGCTCAACTCCCTGGCGATGGCCGCCGCCTCGCTCCTGCACTGTTTCGCGCGCGTGGTAAACTGCTCCAGCTGCTTCCGCAAGCCCTCCGGCGGCCCTGCCAGGAAGAACTCGATGCAAACTGCGCCACTGGGGCGTTAGGAGGAGCTCCCTCTGGGGTCACGAAGCGATTCAGGGTGTGCCGAGATGGGGCGGCGGGGGCGGCGGCGCCATGCAAGCTGCGCCGTAGGGAACTTAGGTGGAGCTCTCTATAGGGCCACGAAGCGTGAGAGGGGTGTGCCAAAAATCGGGCAGCGGTTCCATACGAACTGCGCCACTGAGACCTGGGATGGAGTTCCCTATGAGGCCACGAAACGTGAGAGGGGTGTGCCAAAATGAGGCGGCGGCGACATGCGAGCCGCGCCACTGGGACCTTCGGAGGAGGTCCTCATGGGCCACAAAGCGTGTCAGGGGTGTGCCAACATGGGGCGGCGGCGAGCTGCGCCACTGGGACCTTAGGTGGAGCTCCCTACGGAACCACGAAACGGTGTAGTGGGTGGGTGAAACGTAGGGAGGAGGGAGGAGGGGGAGGAGGAGGGGAGGAGGAGGAGGAGGAGGAGGAGGAGGAGGAGAGGAACGCGGGGCACCGTCTCTCCACAACGAGGACCCAACACCACAACATAATTTGGCAAAATAGTCCCCAGACTATTTCTGTACTATGTTTGAACATTCCTCCTGTAGAGGGACAGGCCCGACTTAACGCAAGGAGCGCTGAGTAAGGAAGGAACGAGAGGTTTTTTTGTTTTGTTTTCTGGCCTTGGCGAAAGCCTCTGCCACGACCCAGTTCCGCCGACCTAGACCTGAAGAGTGGCAGTATCTGAAATCTGAAGGACAGCACCACCCAAGGCGGTGCTCGGAGGGCAACAGCATAAGAACAAGAAACAGCAACACCCCCATCACCAGCACGAGGAACCATGGGGGACCTCCTGAACAATGGTGTGCTCCCCCTCCCCGCTCGGGACATGCTCCATCCCCAGCTCGGGGACGCATCGTGGACCTCCTCACTGGAGGCGGCTTCCCTTGTGGTGGTGGCGGTGGTGGTGGTGGTGGCGGTGTCGCTTTTGGCCGTCCACGGAAGCAACAACAATATGGCTGATTTTCCCGTAGTTCACGTAACTGGTTTTGCGGGCGCCTCCCGGCGCTGGAAGCGCCAAGGTATTCAGAAAAGCGCCCGGCGGCGAGGCCGCGACTGGCTGCGTGCAGCAAGTTTCGTACTCACCTCTTTCCCTACCCTCCCTCTTCGACCGACCCGATCGGAAAGCAAAAGAAGCATCACTGTCACGCCGGTCGGACGCTCCCATCAGCGCGTTAGCGCTGAAGGTTTGCCAGGTTCCTGCAACACGGCAAACGAATAGCACGCACGATACGACGCGCGTGTCGTTTCCGGTGCTCGTGCTACCATCAGGAACCTGGAATGAGGAACGAAAAGCCTCATCAGTCAAGAATCGGTCAAGAATCGGTTCCCCGACCCGTCCAGGGAACGGCGCGAAAACCAGAGCCCCTCCTAAGCCCAGTGCGGTCCTTACCTCGGCGACTTGCCCGTCTGCTCCTTGTCCCCCCCGATAGGCGAGCGCGGTCCACTACTCGCAAAGTAACTACTCGCAAATGGCCAGGACACGCTGCGGGGGATCCACGAAAAAATACATCAAAGCCGACAGATGTTTTTCAGATGTTTTCGCAGTGGACCGCGCTCGGTGACTCGAGGTGCGCAACCACGGCGCAAAAAATTGAGGTCCGATGCTGGGCGCGGCTCTGCTCGGGCCGCCTGCCTACTTCGTGGAGCGACGCAGCGGGGGCTCGCCACGGAAGGGGGTGGGCGTGCGGGGGGTCGGTCAGGCCGCCCCTGCGGATAAGGAAGAAGGGTCGAGGCTCTAGGCGTGTGGGCTGAGAGGCAACTCCAGGAACGGTTCGGAGCTATCAAGTCCGATGAAGGGGGCCATTGAGCCGCACTGGGCGAGATTCGGCCCACGATCGAACTGTATGAATAAAGGGTCCCAGGGACACACAAATAAATACACACAAATAACATGATTCCCTATAGTTTCTAATATTTTCTGGGTTTTTGTTTTCCCCCACACTTCCCACACTTTCCTGTATTTTCCTGGGAGTCGACGATTACTTGTGTCTGTGTATTTTCCCCCTCTTGAATTAAACTAAACCAGATTTGCCAAGTGCTCGACCAGGGATGGATGTGCCAGCACCGATTCAGAAGTCGACCCTCCAGGAGTTGCCTCCCAGGACGAGGGATCGAGGTTTTGAGCGCTTGTCGGGTCGGGCGAAAGGGGGGATAGCAAAGGGGGGGGTTGAGAATCAGCTCACGTAGCTGATTTTCCCGGCGCCTCCCAGCGCCAGAGGCGGCTATGTATCGAGGAATGGGCCCCTCGGCGAGGCCGAAACCAGCTGCATGCAGCAAATTTCGTACCCCCCCCTTTCCCAATCCCCCCCTTTCGTCCGGCCCGAGCTTGGGGGACGTTCCCGCCTGGCTTCCAGAAGCTCGGAACAAGGCGGTTTGGGGCACTGGGAGCTCAAAACCTGTCCCCGGGCCCCTCCCAGGGTCCAAACGCACCAGTGTTCCGCGCTGCGTCCAACCGCGGCGGCAAGGCCCACCCCCCCCGCAGTCCCGCGCCGAGGGCGCCCTCTGCCACGCGCGCCTGGAACCCGCGGTGCCTTCCTCCTCCTCCTCCTCCTCCTCCTCCTCCTCCTCCTCCTCCTCCTCCTCCTCCTCCTCCTCCTCCTCCCCCTCCCCCTCCGACGACGACGACGCCCACGACGACGACGACGCCCACGACGATGTTGACGAGTGTCTCAAGCGGCCCTACTCTGAGAGGCCTCGAGGCCTCAGGGGCCCGCCAGATAACACCAAGTACCTCTCGCGAGAGCCGCGTCTGGAGACCACCCGGGGGGGCCGGCGCGCGGAGCAGGGGTGTGTGTGGGGGGGGGGGGGGGGGCGACCGGGGCGGCCCTTCGGAGAAGGCAGGGGGAGCTCGTGAGCAGGGCCCTGACAGGCCTCCACGGATGGGGTGGGGGAGACTCCAGGACTCCTTCCGTCTCGCCCGGCAAACCTTTTCTACTCCACGGAGCTGGAGCGTTCTACGGGCAAAGCAGTGGTGCTGCGAGCCGGCTCAGGCAAAGCGCGAACAGACGAGGCCAGCGTAGAAGATAAAATGGAGAGGGCATGAGAGACAAGCACAAAAGATGTTTTCCTCCTCCTCCTCCTCCACCTCCTCCTCCTCCTCCATGGAATCACGAGCGGCGAAATATTCGCGCCCTCGCGGTCTGGACTCCGAGGCGCGGTCCCGCGGATACGCGGTCGCACGGCTACGTTCTGCGCAGGGCATTCGCGAACAAAACGCCCCGTGTCCGCGAGGTCGCGGCCCAGGGGCCCAGCCCGCGAGAGGAAGCCCCCACCCTCGCCACGGCCCCGTCTGGGCTTGCGCGCGGCCGAGCACCGGGTCTGGGTCGTCGCAGGCGCTGGCAGACTTGTACATCGCGCAGTGCACGGGGTCGCCGTCAGGGCAGCCACTGGCCGCGATCGCGCTGGCGGTAGGGGCGTTGTCCGCGATGCTCGCGTGCAAAGGGTCGCTGCCAAAGCCGCTGGCGGCCGCCTGCGACGTCTGCTGCGCCGGGGGCGGCGCGAACGGCGAGCTGTCGTCCTCGAGGTCGGCACCGCTGGAGATCTGCTGCACTGCGCCCTGCTGCTGGAGCTGCTGCTGCTGCTGCTGCTGCAGCAGCTGCTGCTGCAGCTGCTGCTGTTGTTGCTGCTGCAGCTGCTGCTGTTGTTGCTGCTGCTGCTGTCCAGGCTGCAACGGTGGCGCAGAGAAGCGAGCTAACATGGCCTTGTACTTCTTGTCCGCCTTCTGCATCTCGTCGGGCTTGGCCTTGGCAACCAGAGTGGAGCCGATTTCGCCATACATGAAGTTGGTATACTTGACCGACGCGCTGCCGCTCATCGCTCTGACCTCTTGCGGCACGCCGGTGGTGTTGCCACACGGGCCTCGCAACACGCCTGGTCGGTTGCGCCCGCCCTTTCCAGCCAGGGAATCCAGCCACAACATGTGCGCCTGGTAGTCGTCCCACAGCGACAACACGAGTACCATGCCACGGTCGAACGACTCGCCCATGGTCTTGAGTCCACCTTTCTCGGTGAACTGATCTGGGTCACCGAAGCGCTTCTTCTGTGCCGAACAAAACTCGTCTGTGACCGAATCGTCCTTGGCGTCGCTGCCGGTCAAGATGTTGGCCTTGGAATTTTCAATGATCTTGTTGTCCTGGACGTAGACGCGGCGGATCTCTGACAAGGGCCCCTCGTCGGTGCCGTCGCTGGTCAGCCACTGCGTCACCACGGTGATTACCTTGGATGTGTCCACCTTGAACTCTGGACCCTCACCGATAAACTTGTGGTCACCCATGCGGTAGGAGTTGAAATCGCAGCCGTCCTTGTCGCATACACCCTTGTAACGCTGCCCGCGATCGTCGGGCAAGCCGCCGCAAAGGGCACCGTCGCAAATCAACGTTCCGTTCGTCTCGCACGGGTGCGGGGTGTACGCGGAGGCCTGTGTATTCGCCTCCCAGATGTCCATCTCCACACAGCAAGCCCCCATCCGACCGAACGCGGTGGTGGTATTCCAATCCAAGATGTTTGCAAGTCCATTCATGAACTTCACGTCGTGGGGGCATTGTGCATCACAATAGCCTGTGCCGTACTTGGCGCCAGCCTTGTTCAGACCGCCCTTGCCGCCCGTGACCTCCATCTCTGAGAAATAAACTGCACCGTTCACGCCGCACGGCAGTGTGGACATATCCACATCGAAAGAGAACTCCCTGTTCTTCAGCTTGAAGAGCTTGTAGGTGTCCTCGCTGTCACCCAGGAGACGAGAGGAGAGCGAGCGAGGGAGAGGGATGCACAGGAGAAGCAGGAGCAAGAGCCAGAGCTCCAGCGAGTCGATTCTTCGAACGCTGTCCCCAAACATCTCTTTCCTGCGCTGGACGGGGCTAAGACGAGGATGAATCCGTTGCTAAGCGCTCCCAAACGCTCCCACAGCGCTCCAGAACGCTCTGGGAAGGCCGCGACGCCCGAGAAATCCTCCAGAGCCGCCCCATCTCAGATAATCTCGGCTTGTTCCTACCCGATTCTATCCTCGTCCTGGCCTCGTCTTACCGGGACGGTGCTCCTCCCAGGTCGCTCTTCACTGGCCCTGGGCCCGAAACAGGCCTCCCGAGGCCCAGCAGCACGGACAAACACTGGCCGTCGTGAATCTTCCCCGACGCTGGAGGTCTGGCAGCGTGGGCGCCTCGCTGTCGGTGAGGTACAGCCTCGAGCCGACGTTCTGGCCAGACACAAACTTGAGCTCGACCCCGCCAGGGATGGGGGTCACGCCGTAGGTGGTGTCGTACTGGGCAAGAGGGGTGAGGGCAGGGAGATGAGGAGAGGGGAACAGGAGGCGGAGGTAGGGGAGAAGGGATGGGGGAGATGCTGAAGGGAGGCGGAAGGAAATAAGGAAGCGGGGAGGAGGGTAGGAGAGAGAAGAGAAAGCAAGTGTCGAGAGGCGGACGTGGCTTCAGCTTTTGCAAGTATGCATAGCACAACGGCACCTTATGCGTCCGTCTGTTCCCTCTTGGAGGGTCCGCAAAAAGAAAACATACTGGCAAACATCAACTGGTGCATCCTGGCGCAACTGTTTCACAACAGCGAACACGTTCCGAATAAATAGGGCGGCGGTGTATGCACCCTCGAGGGTATTCAACTTAAGAACAACTCCCCAAATGTGGGGCGAACACAGAAATTCTCGTCTGAGCTGCAGCGAAGCGTCCTGGCAATCCGACGGACGGGTGTGTGACGCAATGGCCAGACCACGATACGTCAAAACAACCCAACTTCCTTTGCAACGCAACCCCCCTTAATCCCCTCCATTGCCCCCGCCCGAGTTGGCGACCACCTGGCGACCTTCTCGCTTCCTAACTATCCGCCACCGTGTCGTCAGCACGAAGTGAGATGTCCCAAGGCTTATGCAGCCCTCAGAGGTAGGAGAGTTTCTAGAGGTCTTTATGGCCTGGCCTCTCAGTTTCCCAGGCGCTTCCTGGCCCTACTGGCGTGTTTCGCGGGGGCCTCCGAGACGACATCTTGCCCAGGAGGGCCCCCAGATGGGCCCCAAGACAGTCCAAGATGGTCACGAGTCGCCCAAAGATCGCTCCAAAACGCCCAAGATGGTCCACAGACTGCCCAGGAAGCCCCCAAGGCGACGAAAGAGGGCTCCAAGAGGCTCCCCAAGAGAGCCCCGAGATGCCCGAATCATTGATTTTCTGAAGTGAGTGTTTGATCGGCTTTGGGGTTCTCGCTTTTTCGGGCGTTGGACGCTTCAAGACGGTCCAAGAGGCCCCCAAGTTCGCTCCAAGACGGCCCAGGAGGCTCACAAGAGCGCACCCAGATGGCCCTAACACGGCCCCAAGACTGCCTGAGAGGCCTCCAAGACGGCACCATAGGGCTCTAAGAGGGGCCCAAGAGAGCCTCCAGAGGACCGACGTTTCGAGCCCTTCGCCCCAAGGTGGCCCCTGGACCGCCAGCAGGCCCCCCAGAGGCTATCACAAGCTCCAGGAGGCCCCGACGAGGCCCAAAGCAGGCCAAGAGAGGCCCCCAAAGAGACCCCCGAGAGGTCTCCGAAGAGATCTCCACAATCATCCCTGAGGCCTCCGATCTACAGCCCAAGCGCGGTGGCGCGATGGACCGGAAGAACGCAAAAGACGCCAGAAAATCAATGATGGCAACTTGGACACCTTGAGGGTCGAGGAGGCAGCATCGAGGAAAGTTCAAAACTGCCAAATATGGTTTCAAGACGGCCCGGCAAGTCAATAACGCGGCCAAATAGGCCTTCAAGACGGCCCAACGAAGCCCTCAAGAGCCCGTGCAAGCAAGAGTCATTAATTTTGATCACGGGTTTGACAGAGTTTCGCGATTGGCCTCTTTATACAATCTCCAGACGCCTCCAAGACGGCCAAAATACGTCCCAGAAGGCACCCGAGAGGGCCCCAAGACGACACCAGAGTGCCCCACGGGGCCCAAGTATCACCGAAGACGGGCCCAAGACGGCCCAAGATACCCCCAAGAGATTCAGAAAACGGCCCTGGAAGGTCCCAACACTGCCGAAAGAGGCCCCCACCTCGAAAGGCGCCAGACGGCCCAAGGCCGACCGAGGACGGCGCGAGACGCCCCCAAACGACCCCAAGAGGCCCCCAGGAAGCCACAAACAAGAACCCAAGAGCCCCCCCCCCCAGGAAGGCCAACAGCAAAAACTCGCTGGAGACCCCAAGCGCAAACACTCTGCGCGGCCCCCTGAGCGACTCCGATAGATGCTCGGAATGACTGCCGCATGCAGTGGATGTCCGTGCCTCTACTGGACTGACGCCGGGGCAAGAGCAGAAGAGCGAGAGGACGGGGAAGCCACCCCCAAATGGAGGCCAAGAAAGAGTTGGCGCGCTCGGACCAAGCTCGTCTGCCGTTCACCGTGGATGCCCCATGCTTCTACTGGACTGACGCACACTGCGCTACCATTTCCGGGAGAAAGAAACATGTCATACGCTGTCGTGCAAGACTTGCAGTGCAACTCGCACTAATCCCCGTGGGTCCCCCGCCCTGGCCGGCGACATACATTTTCCACTGGTCTTCAACTTGGATCTGGAGGCTCCTCTCTGGGCGTCACACATGCAACAAAAAACAACATTTCAGAAAACCGTTGAATGCGACATGTTTGCACCAATGAGCCCCGAGAAGGCTCCAAGCTTGCCCAAGAGGCACCAAGACGGCTCAGGAGGCCCCGATCAAGCCTCAAGAGAGCTCCCAAAGGACCCCCAAGAGGGTCTCTGGAGGCACAAACGATTCCTTATGCCTAGGTGTTTGAGATCTTGTCCCTGTCTCGCCATTTCTGGCTTCCGACACATGGCCCAGGACCTCTCCAAGATGGCCCCAAAGTGGCCCACGAGGCCCCCAAAAGGGTCCCAGGACGACCCGAGAGGGCCCCAAGGCGGCCCGAGGAGCACCCAAGACGGCCCCTCACTGCCCAAGAGAACCCCAAGACGGCCATGGAGGGCCCAAGACTGCCGAGAGATGCCCCACACGCGGCCTGCGAATGCGCCAGACGGCCCGAGACCGCCCGAAACCGGCCCGAGACGTCCCCGAGAGGCCCCGAGAGGACCCCAAGAAGCCACAGACAAAAACCCAAGAGGCCCCCGTGGAGCCTCCAAGAGCTCCTGGGAGGCCTCAGACGCCCCATTCTCCACACGGTCTGGGAGCGCACCCCGCGAGGCGGAAGGGATCGAAGAGAGGAGCGTCGAACACTTGAAGAGGCTGAGCAGGGAGCGGGGGATGAGCGAGGAGGGGCTGGCACGGGAGGAGGAGGAGGAGGAGCAGGAGGAGCGAGCGGAGCAGGCAGGCCAGGGGAAGGCGGAGGGCGGGAAGGCAGGGGGCGGCAGCGGCGAGGACACTCGCAGATCGAGAAGTGCGACGCGCGCGGGGGCAGAGAGCGACGTTCTGAGCGACGGGAGCACGACGCCGATCCTGAAAGGTGGCCAGCGCCGCAGCGGCAGCACCGTGTGTGAGGGGTCCGAGAACGTTGCTGAGCAAGCCTCATGTCAAATCACCTGCGATGGGGACGGAGGAGAACGGGAAGGAGGAGGAAGGGAGGGAGGACGGAGAGGGGAGAAGGAGAAGGAGGACGAAGGAGGGGAGGGAGGACCGGGTGGGTAGCGAGGGCGGACGAGGACGAGACTGTGGGAGGGGAGGGGCGAAAGGACGAGGGAGGGGAACGAAGAGATGGGAGGAGGGGCGAGGATCAGTACGGTCTAAGACGTGGGAGAGAAAAAGACAAGCCTCCCTCGTACTTCCCACTCTCGGATATTCCCTCGTGCGTTCGCTCGCCCTTCCCCCCCCATCCTCCTCTTCCTCTTCAGTCTTCCTCCCTGCCATTTTGTGCGCTCCTACCTCTTCCTCGTCCTCCTGCTCCTCCCCTCGTCCTTGTTCTTGGACCCACAGAACGCTGCACAAACATACACGCCGGTCAGAAGAAGCGGGTAGAAACATCGAGTAGGAAGGCGTTGGAAGTATATTGGGGGGCTTCCGCCCGCCCCCTGTACAACGATCGGCGTGTACACGCTTGGAGGCCCGTGCCAAGTTCTTGGATCGGCGCTGGGCCCGCCCTCCCTGGCGCACGGAGCCCGCCGGGGGCGAGCTCATCACAGATCCGAGAGGGGCCCATCACAGATCCAAGACATCCGCGCGGATCTTCGAGTGCCTAATGCCTGTTTCGGCCTTCGGCTTCCTCGGGAGGGAAGACGACTCGCGGCGAGCGAGGGGGGGAAGTCAGAAGGAGAAGGCCTTCTCCGAAGGCTCGGAAGCCTTCCAGCCATCTGAGAAGATTTCTGAGCCTTCCCCGAAGATGCCGAAAACTCCTCAAAAGGCTGGAGAGCTTCTGAGAAGTCCCGCCGCCTTCTGAGAAGGCCTTCTCCTTCTCGCTTCCCCCCCTCGCTCGCCGCCCAGACGAGAAACCCAACCCTGAGACCTGAGACCCCAGGACGTGACGTCAATTTGTTTTTTTCTGTGTGTGTGTGCGTGTGTGTGTGTGTGTGTGTGTGTGTGTGTGTGTGCGGAGCGTCACGCTTCCCATAGCAAAACCATCGAGACCCAAGAAACCCAGGACACCCTGGAGGCAAGCAGGGTGTTTGTTGGCATGGGCTCGCCGCTGCATGCTGTTGTTCGTCTTCGACGCATTCCTCAGGAGGGAGGACGAGGGGAGGATCGGGCGCACGCTACCGTGGACAACGGCTCTGTGGATCTGGCGCGCAGGCGCCAGAGCCACGGATCTGGGAGAGCGCCCCCGATCACGAGGCCAACGCCGCCCGATCTGGCGACGCACCGCGCCGATTCTGCACGGACGCGGGACACGGCACTTGTTTTTGTTTTCCTCCCTAAGCGACGCCCTTCCCACCACGAATCAGCTTGAAAAGGGATAGGCTGGCATCGCCCGGAAAGCCTACACTTCGGACCAAGCTTCGAAAATACATGGCGTTAATAGTCCCATGAGACGCGGGATCCGGCACTTGTCCACGCGCCTGAATCCATGTCCGCGCCTCCCCGATGGAGAGCAGGAAGACGAGGAGGGGGGGACGGAGGAGCGGGAGGGACGCGGATCGGCGACTCCGAATGGCGTTGCTTGCAGAGGGTGTGGTTTGCCACCCGCACCCTTGGGGGCGGGCGAGGTCCTCGACAGAGTTCTCCGCCGCGCCCCGAGGCGGCCACCGAACACCAGCCGACGTAGCTCGCAGACCACACCTCGGCGTAACCACACCCTCTGCAACGGCCAAGCGGGGAAGCGGGACCCGGCGCTGATCCGCGCGCCTCAATCCATGCCCCGCGCTTCCTCGAGAGGAGCAGGAGGAACACGAGAACGGGGACGGAGGAACGGAAGGGACGCCGCGGAGGAATACGAGGCCCGCGATTGCCCGGGGCGAGAGTGGGCGACGTGGCTCCTGCTGGGCGTCGACGCCCTCCAGCGCGCAGTTCTGCGCGCAGCTCTTAGGGTCCTGCTCCCCAGCCTCTTCCCGCCTCCCCCCTCCTCCTTCGTCCTTCCTCCAGCCTGAAGCTTCCTACTCCCCCTGATCATCCTCCTCTAGCTGATCGCCCAACCCCTCCTTCTACTCATCCTCTCTCTTGCCTCTTCCTCCTGTATCCCTCTGCCTGCTCCTTCCGCCGCCAAGTCCTCCCACAACCATCCACGTCGTCCTCCTCCCCCTCCTCCTCCTCCTCCTCCACCCGCTTCCTCCCCCATTTTTCCTTCCCCGCTTCTCCTCCGTCCGCCCCTCTGTCTAAACACACTTCTGCATGGCCTGCTGCGCCGTACCCATTTGTACTCGAAGGGTCTCTTGAGCCGCCTTTGATGGATATGCTGATTGGGTTGCTGGCTTCAGAGAGCTAGCGACATCTCCCACCAGCTCTACGGGCGTAGAGTTCAGCGTTTCCTCTTCCAAAACCCTCTTCCCATTCTGGGAATGATATCCTCAACCATCCCTCACTGAATTGTTTTGAGCCCATGACGGGGTGGTCAAAGCAAACAAAATGGGCCCAATGAGGCGCTCATGAGCGCTCCTGAGGGCGATGGTAAATCCGCCACCCCTCCCCCTCATTTGATCGAGGCCCTGGGAGATGGTCATGAGAGGCCTTCTGGGGCTCTCAAAAAGGCTCCCCAGATGGCCCCAATATACATCAAAAGAGCCCCATGAGGATCCCAGAGCTTTCCACAAAGGGTCCCAGGAGGGCCCCAAACAGAACCACTCCTGAGCAGAGGACCTCCAGAAGATTCCAAAATGACCCCAAGAACTCTCGCCGAATTGATCCTCCTTCCCGTCTCCGTCTTCGTCGTCATCTTCCTCGACCTCGTCTCCGTGTTCGCCGCCTTCCTCGAACCACTCGTCCTCCTCCTCCTCCTCCTCTTCACCCTCGTTCTTGCCCTGGTCGTCGTCTCCGTGTCCGCCTCCACCTCCACCTCCATCTCCTCCTCCTCCTCCTCCTCCTTCCTCCCCCCAATGCGGGCACCAAGAAATCCCGAACATTAATATTTCCAGGAGACTGTCCCACCTAATGCGTCTACACTTCCCTGATTCAAGCAACTCGCCGGGCGTTTCTGGATGGGCTTGTGGGGAAACACGAAACGTCGAGAGCTTATGTCCACAAATATCGTATTGAGTCTATCTACCGCAGAGCAGTAGGCACTGAATGAACTGTCCCGAGGGCCCTACAAAATGTATGTCCTTACAGGATCGTGCAAAGCCGCAGACCCAACATTTCTGGGATGGGCCAAGCACTTCTGGCAACCACCGCGTGACGTTCCCAAGACCGAAACATCTATTAAAAACAATGTGATGAAACATGTGCTCGGCACCGGGGGGGGGGGCAGGGAGGGGGGGAATCCGAACTGGGCTCACGAGCCCTCCTGTGCCAAGATGGCCTTCGAGACCGCCGACATGTCCCAAGAAGCCTATAACATGACTGGAGAGGCATCCCAAGAAACCCCGAAAGGTATCCAAAAGGCCTCTGACCCACAACCAAGACGCAATGACGGGATGGGCCGAAGGCCACTAGATCCGCCGCCTTCTTTGCTTGCAAAGGGGTGCTTGGCGTGCCACATATTGGAGCTCTTTCTGGTCCTTCCAAAAAGTTTCCAACGGGGTCTAGGCCGATCCCATAGGCCACTCGTGCGAACAAGTGTCCGTCGGCTTCCCCATCCAAGACCGCTCCAAGACGCACCCAAGAGAACCGATGTGGACCAAAGAGAGCCCAAAATGGCTCCAAGACGGCTCAAAAAAGTCCCCGACACGGCCCCAGAGGGCTCCAGAAGGCTCGTAAGCAGGGACCAGAGAGGCCACAATAAGGTTTTATACATAACTTGTGATGGATGCTCGCGTTCTCGCCTTTTCGGGCTTCATACGGCCGGAGGAAGGACCAGATGCCTCCAAGATAGCTCCACAACGGCCCCAGAAGCTTCGAAGAGGGCCCCAAGAAGGGCCCAGAGGGCCAGAAGACGGCCCCCAAGACGAACCCAAGATGGCATCAAGGCGCAGCGACCTCCAAGACGGCCCTAAATCATACCAGGAGAGTCCCAAGACGGCCCAGTGTGGCTACCAAGACGGCCTTCGAAGGCCAAGAGACCCGAAGAGTCCTAAAGAGTCCCCAAGGAGGCCCCCAGGAAGCCCCGAAGAGGCCTGGTATCCCTACATTCAAAAGATGATCCTGCGGTCTGGAGCGCTTGGCCCATGCAGGAGGTGTCTCGGCGATTGCTCGATGACCCTCCAAGGTTTGGAAAAACGATCGTCCTTGGGGTAGGACAAAACTCCGTTCCGCTGCATTTCTATGTGAGCAATCTTGTGGGTCGTACAGTGTGCGACCCACAACGATTGCAGATAGAGCAGCACGACCAGAAGTGTATGAGCAGCACGACCAGTGGTGTCTGACCCACAGCGATTGTGACATAGAAATGCGGTTCCTGTTAAAGCGATCCTGACTGCCTATAGGTCACGGGGCGGTACAACATAGAGATGTCCATCCCTGGGGTGTCTAAAACAAACTGATCGATTCCACCCCCTCTGTCTAAGTTCTCGATCTCATCGTCACAAGGATGGGGCTCTTCACATGGACGAGCTCAGGGTCCAGCTCCTGGCGACGATCATTCCTGAACGGACACACCCAAACCCTGAGGTAAGTGGTGCCAGGGGCTCCGCAATGCTGGCACTTTGGCGAAACAGGAGTGATCTTGCCTTCGTGGAAAGCCGATCAGACCCTTCTGATCCTCCTCCTCCTCCTCCTGTTCCTCCTTCTCCCCATCCTCCCCGTCTTCCTCGCGCAAGAGTTTCTCCACGCGCTGGGAGCACATAGCCGAATATCTTGGTAAGACCTCGGCCGAACGCCTGACCTCATGGGCATGTTCAAAAGGCAAGGGGCAGCGTGGGTTCGCCGTACAGCCATCGTGCTATCAGAAGGGGCGGTGGATAAGGATCGAAGGGCTTTTCAGGCCACGGATAGCCTGAGCCTTCAATAGGTCCACCGAAACCTTGATTCAAGGAATGGCCTGAAAACTGCAGCCAACTCCTGAACACAAAGTGGTACTCATTTCAGCGTCTCGGCTGTCTTCGACGACATTATGTAACACACACACATACACACCCGCACACAACGATGAGCAAGCTCCCTGGCGAGCACTGCTGGAGCAGTGCCGAGCGCGGAAGCATTGGAACGCCCGAGTCGTGCTAGAAGAAGAAGGGTCAAGTACACAAACCTCATGCTCAATATCGACACCGACGCCGGTTCGTTCAAGGCATCGGCGATCCTGCCCTGTCCTCCTCAACTTTCCATCCCTCCCTCCTCATCCACCTACTCCTCCGCCTCCTCCCTCGTCCCCCGGTGTTCGCCTCTCCTCTCTCGAGCCTCGACCCTGTTCCCTCATACCTGAGGTATGAGGGGAGGAAGGGCCTTCCTCCCCTCACATTGCCCATATCCGTTCTTACCACTTACCACATCATCCCTCCGTCCCCGCCTTCATCGTCCCTTCTCTTCGTCCATCTCGTGATCGTCGTCCTCCTCCTCCTCTTACGTGAGACCCCTCTCCCCATTCCTCCCTCATCTGCTCCCATCTCCTCTCGTCTCCGCCTCCTCCTCCTCCTCCTCCTCCGCATCAAATATCATTCCTCACCAATGCGATATCACTCAACGCGCCACCGAAATGGCTGATAAAAACCTCGTCAGGCACCCTCGCTCCGAATCATTAAAACATATGGTACCGTTCACGACTCCTGCTCAATATGAACGTTTTGTAGCCGACGCCGACTCTGCGAACTGCGTGGCGGGAGCTTTCATTACTGGTTCCGTCTTGCCGTTGGTTGCCGGTTCCGTGGGCGTTATTTTGCCGGTTCCGTCGCCTTCTTATGTCTGGTTCCTGTTCTGCTTCCGGTTCCAATCCCAGAGCCGTCTTTTTGCCGTTTCCGGTCGCACTTCATTCACCGTTTCCACTTTCACCAGGCACTTTTTCCAAAACGGTGAAACTGCCCTGCCTTTTCCGGGGCCCACGAAGGGCGGCAGCGGGACCGAGCACACATTGCTCACGAGCAGAATATCACTCTCGCCTCATTGCCGCGCTCGTTTTGCCTGTGAGTGGGGCTTCCGCCCGGGCGCGGCGCACACTTTTCGCTCGCTCGTTCGTCGACAGCGAGGCCGCAAGCGAATGAATGACATGTCGCTTTCGCCTCGGCTCTGCGCAGATGTTGCCCGAAAGCGGCGCTCCCACGTGGGCGCGGTGCACACTTGCCACTCGCCGAATCGCTTGCGGCGGGGCCCGCGCAAGCGGGCGAGTCGCCCTCGCCAAAGCCCCGTGCGGGTTACGCCAGGAAGAGGCACTCCCGCTCTGGCGCGGCGCACGTGTTCCGCTCGCCGAGTCTCGGGAGCGGCAGCGGGGCCGAGCCAGAGCAGGCGAAAGATTCTCGGAAGACGCCGCGCAAAAATATCGTAAAAACGGCAGGGCCACTTCGGAGCGGCGCATGCTGTCTTGGCCGCGCTCATCAGACAGCCGCATGTGTCAACGCCACCCAGGACAGCGCTTCGTGGCCCCATAGGGAGCGCCACCGAAGGCTCCAGTGGCACAGGCCACGCGAGAGAAGGCCACATGGCTCTTTCGCCGAAACGCCGCGCAAAGATGCTCTGGAAGATCCGTTCGCGTCCATGCTTGGCCGCTGTCTGCTTCCCCTCGCGGGACCGCGCGCGAACGCCTCCCGTTCGCTAGCTGCCACGCGCGCCGATCTGAATAGGAGGTTCCGTCACAGTTGTTACTATATCATGGGTGGGTGGGTGGGATCGGGCGGGCCCGCTGACTCCACCTATTTCTCCTCCGCATCCTCCTCCACCTCCTCCTCCTCCCTCCTCCTCCTCCTCCTCCTCCTCCTCCTCCCTCCCCTCCTCCTCCTCCTCCTCCTCCTCCTCCTCCTCCTCCTCCTCCTCCTCCTCCTCCTCCTCCTCCCTTTTCCTCCTCCCCCTCCTACTCCTCCTCCTCCTCCTCCTCCTCCTCCTCCTCCTCCTTCCTCCTCCTCAGCTTCCTCCTTCGCTTCCTCCTCCCGCCTGGCTTCTCCGCCTCCTTCTGCCCGTGCTCATCCCGTCCTACCTCCTCGGGCCCGTCTTCCGACTCTCCTCCGTCGCCCTCGCCCCGGCACTCCTGCCGGTGCTCCCCCGCCTCGCGCCCCCGTCCTTACGCTCCTCTCCTCCTCGTCCTCTTTTTCGAGGGAAGGCGCCCCGAGGCTGGAAAGCACAGCCACGTGGCCTTCAAGCCCCCCCACTCCGATTCTGAGCAGGCAGTCAATCCGCAGGCTGCCGCTTCCGAGGAGCTCGAGTCGCGTTGGCGAAGTCGAACGCCTTCCGAATCCGCGAGATGGTCCTCCTCCTCCTCCTCGCTGTGCTCGGCGCCCTGTTCGGCCTCTCCTCGTCTGGCTCCCCGCCACCCGCACGAGACCACAAACTCATCGCTCGAGTGGGCTCACGCTCGGAGTCCTTGCACAGCGTCTTGTCCCACTCGGTGTTGGTGTAGCAGTTCCCAGAGCTGTAGCACTGCTTGGGGCTGTACGGTCCTCCGGACCGCCGCCCGGGCGGACGTGGAGCGAGGGAGGCAAGTCGGCTCCCGAGTGGAAGGGGGAGGGGGAGGGAGGGGGGGCGGCTGAGGGGGAGGGAGGGGGGCGGGGGCCGCGGGGGCCAGACGGTGAATGGTAGTGGAAGGTGGGTGGGGGGAGAGAGGAAGGAGGCGGGCGGAAGGGGAGGAGAAAACTAGGAAGAGGAGGTGGAGGAGGAGGAGGAGGACGGGGAGGAGGAGGAGGAAGAGGAGGAGGAGGAGGCGGAGAGGAGAGAGACGAAGGGGTTCCTCCTCAAGACCTGGTTGTGTTCAGATCATGCCATAACTTGGGTCTCTGGCGGTCATTCGGGACGATTCGGGCATCCGTGGAAGGGCCCCGTTCCCGTCCGTCGCCGCCCCACTTTTCCAAGTAGGAGGCACGTTGGCGGCCCCTGCGGCACCGTTCCCGACCGTCGCCGCCGCCCCGTTGCCCACCCCCCCTTCGGTTGCATTGCAAACGCATCGCATTGAAATCGCATTGCATTGCACTCGCATTGCATTGCAATCGCATTGCATTGCAATCGCATTGCATTGCAATCGCATTGTATTACATCGCATCGCATCGCATCGCACTGCGTTTCATTGCATTGCGTTTCACTGCATTGCTTTGACCTGAATTTATCTACGCTGTGTTGCATCGTAAGCCATGTCTTTACGTGGCGTTTCGTTGTTTTGCTTTGCTCTGGATTGCGTTGCATTGCTTTGCATTGCGTGGATTTGCATTGCGTTGCAGAGCAGTGCATTGCGTTGAATTGCTTTGCATTGCTTTGCGCTGCATTGCTTTGCATGCCATAGTTTGCGCCACCCAGGTTGCACCACGGTGATTGCGCCATCTAGATTGCACCGCAATGATTTCAATAATCAACGCTTGGGGTCTACGCTGGATAACATCGTTGTACATATATATGTGCTAGAACCATCGCGCCCTTCGCGCGCGCTCAGCTTCTAGCCCAGGCCGGGGGGGGCGCTGGACGATCTTGGACAACGCTATCAAGCACAGGCGCGCGACGGCATCTGAGGAGCTTCTGGGGTGTTCCGCATGCTTCGTCAACTGGCTGTTGGAGGCACCTCTTGGGTGCCTCTTGGGGGGGCGTCTGAGGGTCCCTTGGGGGCATCGGTTCTGCAATCTGAAGCCGTCATTCGCCGTCTTGGCTGCGTGGAGGCCCGACTTGAGGCCACCTGCGGCCAGATTGAGGCAATCCGGAAGCCTCCCGGGGGCATCCTGGAAGCAGTTCTGACGCATCGAGGGCACTCTTGGGCTATTTTATAATCTCTTGGACGTCTCCTGGGGGCCTCTTGGGCCCTCGGGAAGCTTTTGGGATCCTCTTGCGGCCTCCTGTGGGCCTTTTCGGGGGAACGCTCTGCTGTTGGGTCGCGTTCCCCTTCTTGGGCCTCTCTTGGGGCTCTTGGGGCCCTCTCGGGCCGTCTTGGGCGCCTCAAGCACCGTCTTGGGGCCCTCGCGGGCCGTCTTGGGGCCCTCTTGGAGGCCTCTTCCTGTATATATTGGAGCGGTATTGGAAGCCTCTTGGGCCGTCTTGGAGCATCGGGATGCCAAAAGGCCGAAAAAATTAAAACCCGTCAAAGCCCAATCGTAAAACAATGTGTTGTGCCTCTTGGGGCCTCCTTGGGAGATCTCTTGCAACCTCGTCGGCCCTCTTGGGAGCTTCTTGGGGGCCTCTTGGATCCGATTGGGGGCCTCTTGGGACTTCCCGAGAACCTCTCGGGGTAAAAAACTCGGATTCTCAGTTCGTGTTTCCCTTCTTGGGCCTCTCGTGGGGCCGTCTTGAGGCCCTCTCGGGCCTTCTTGGGCGCCTCAGGCACCGCCTTGGGGCCCTCGTGGGCCGCCCAGGGCCCTCTTAGAAGCCTCTTCGGCTATCTTGGAGCTGTCTTGGAGGCCTCTTCCTCCTCGTCCGCCTCCTCCTCCTCCGACTCCAGCTCTCTCTCCTCCTGATCTTCCTCCTCCTCCTGCAGCGTGATCAAGGTCCGCGCCTTTCGGTCACTACGAATTTGGGGGTGGACGCTACCGCTGGGCTAGCCAGGCGACAGGCTGGCAGTTCTCACAAGAGCAAGGTTCGCATGACCATTTTCAAGAGGAAGGTCTCCAGGCTGAAGAAGCAGCGCCCCTTTTTGGGCAGACGTGCGATTAAAATTTGTTCGTCGGGACCCATCCCTGGGGTGCTCTATGGCTGTACGGTTTTCGGGATGTCCGACAACGAGCTGCTGCAGGTTCGCAGGGGGGCTGCTTCTACTATCAAGCCGTCTGCTGGAATGAGGTCTCTTTCGGCCCTCATGATCTTAGAAGATGATCCTGGCTGATTCGGCTCCGTGGGTCCCGCGGTCAGGTATTCTCAGGAGATCTGGTTCAGGCATACCTTTCTGTTCGATGGCGCGCTTTCCTGGCACGAGCTTCGTCAGGGGTGGGAATCGGCTTTTCGGAGTACTCGGAAAGTTACCTGGAGGCGCGTGTCAGGCCCGATGACGGCCCTTCGGCTTTCTTTATCTCGGATCGGCTGGACTATGGATTCGTTCACGGAATTCATCGACGACTTCGGCAGCAGGATTTCTTTAACCCTCTCGTCTCCAAAGTTGGTGGCTCAGCTACTCAAGTACGGGGTCCTGAGGGCTTTGGAAAGGGATGTTGCCGAGAAAGAGGGTATTCAAGGCCGAGTGTGGTTTGACATCATGAAGTCGGCGTCGTCGTCGTCCAGATACACACCCTTTGAACGAGGTTGTATCAGGAGTCTGGCCACCAACGCTGTTTGGACTCGAGAGCGAGCTGTCAGTTTAGGCTATCAGGTGGGCAGCTCCGCTTGCCAGATGTGCGGTGTTGGGCCAGACACGCTGTTGCATCGGTTGTGGTTGTGCCAGCACTGCGACGAGCAGCGCAGGGAGGTCTTGGGAGACAAGGGTGTAGGTTTCATCGACGAGGCGAAGGGCGTGGACTCGACTGAAGATCTCTTGCTTTTCACCAGAGGGCTCTTCCAACATACTGGGGACACTGTGCCTCCACCTTGTTCTGATGGCGGTGTGGTTTTTGTTCCTGCTCCTGGGGGGCCTATTGAAGAGGGTGAAAACTTCAGGCTTCAGGGCGAACTGTTTATTGACGGCTCTTGTGCCCGTCCCCCCATTCGTGAACTCTCCAGGACGGGCGTTGGGGCCCAGGTCCTAAACCAGGACGGCCCCCTCGGAGCTGGCATGTTTGCTCCTCTTTGGGCTCCCTGGCCTCAGACGCCCCAAGGCGGAGAGTACGGCATCTTCGCGGCTGTTGCACATATGCTGGCTGGCCCAACCAATACTTATTCAGAATGCCAGTCTGTAGTTCGTCATGCACAACTTGCCAGGCCGCAAACCTTGTCGCACAAGCGAATGCACTCGGGCTTCATGCTCCAGGCTCGCATGGGCGATCTTTCACGTGTGCAGGCCGTCATCAAGGTGTGTGCTCACCAAGAGCTTGACGAATCGTTGCCTGCCCGCGAGTACTTTTTGAGCCTTGGAAACCACCACGCGGATCGTCTGGCCAATCTCGGGAGGGAGCAGCACGCCCTTCCGACCCCAGCTGAGTCGGACGCGATGTGGAGGAAGGTTTCCATTGCGCGCCTGGTAGCGAAGTTAGCCGCGCGTATCTTGCCCCTGTTGCCCCGCTTGGACCATCAGGATGTTGAATGGTTGGCCCCTGAGTCGAGTGTCTTTTGCCGCCAGGATGGTCTAGCCCACAACTGGGTCCAGCTTAGACAGTCGTGGCAGTGTTCGGTTTGATTGAGGGGTTCTCGGCTCCCTCAGCCGCCCGCCTCCAAGTGCCCAGGTGCCGACGGCTTGCGAGGCCTCAAGGCGGAAGAGTTGTCCCACCTAGGTCACACTATTGCTGGGTACGATTGCTCGGACGGCTCTTTTGTCGCCGTGTGTACTCGTTGCAAGCTGTATTCGACGGGCGGCAGAGTGCGAGGACTGCGCGAGCGCTGTCCCGCGGAGCCTGTGAAGTTGACGGATCACTCCATGCGCGGGCGCAGACACTGCTGGAATCGTATTGTCAAGGGTCTCCATCCCAAGGAGGATGGCATCACCCTGCAGTATGTGGACCTGACGGCCGAAGGCAATCTGGATACCTCTCCTCCCGTCGAGCCTCCTCCCGAGCCTCCCCCTCTCAGGAGCAGGCCGAAAGCCCAGGTCAGGTGCTGCTCAGAGTAGCAGCCGAGATGGCACGTTACCGCACCGCTGCGCGGCCTGCGCAGGCGCTGTACGAGCCAGCGTCGCAGTCGAGCTGCAGCGGCCGATCGACCGCCAATGCCTGCGTGAAGGCACCCCCGTCTGCAGCTGGAGCTGCGGCGGGCGCCTCTCTCTCGTCCCCACATTGCGCTGGACCTTTATCGGAATCTGGAGTTGTCAGGACTTCGCGTAGCAGCGCGAATCTCTCTCGTAGTGGCGGTTCTTCCAGGCTCCCTGTCCAGTCCCCGTTGCCTGGAGCGGGGCTTTCGAAAGCCAGGCAGCCTGTGCAGTCCCCTCGGCCTGGTGAGGGGCATCATGACCCTGACAGCTTCGAGACGGAGGACGAGATTTCTCGTCTTTTCCTCGGAGCCATCGAGGAGGAGGAGGAGGAGGTGGTCGTCAGGTCGTCGTCGGTGGATGGCGGAGGAGGTCCTGTCTCTCTCTCGGCGAGGAGTCCCTGCCTCCGCAGCGAGACTGCCGTCTCGCCCGAGGCTGGGGCCCTGGGTGCCGTGCGTGCCGCCCTCCTCCAAGAGGAGGACGACGCCCCTCGTTGCCAGCCTCCTGTACAGTGCGAGGACGACTCCGACTGACTGACGCCATTCGGCGCCCGTCAGTTTCGGACTCGTCCCCTTTCTTTGTTTTCTCGCCGCTCAGCTCGGCTGATGTGGCCGAACGCTGCTGTCGAGGCTCCGCCCGTCGCAGCGAGGCGAGCTGGCCGCGTCGCGTGCCAACCGTTGCGGTCGACCCTGACCTGTACAG